CCGGGGGCTGTGAGGGAGAACACCGGGGGCTGTGCGGGAGAGGACCGGGAGCTGTGCGGGACAGCACCGGGGGCTGTGCGGGAAGGGACCGGGGGCTGTGCGGGAAGGGACAGGCTGGGTCCCCGTGCGGCCGGGGTGGTTCCGCGTACGACCGGAGTAACTCCGTCTGTTGCCGCTGCAGGCAGGGGAAAGGAGCCGCCGGGACCGCAGTGGGCCCGGGACAGCCCCGGGGCGGCGAAGCGGAGGAAGAGGGCAGCGGAGCCCGGCAGGAACAAGAACACGGTCAAGGGCAGAGTCGTGAAGTCGGCGATAGGTGAGTCCCGACCTGCCTCCCCCTGTGGTGCCCTGCAACCATCCTTCTGGACTCTGCATCCATCCCTTCCCATCCTCCTGGATGCCCTGTTGGTGTTGCTCACTTGGACACAGTCAGATTTTGGGGCGAACCCCAATCCCTGATCTGTAATAGCTGTAACAGTGTCTTTCTTTCAAGGCTTTGCTGATCTGCTTTGTCTCTCCTTGTGAACTGCCTGGATGAGCAGCTGATGTTTTGTCTCTCTTTGCTTTGCCCCAGAGGAGTATCATAAGAAGAAGCCTGTGAATCACTTGAGGGAAAACCTGCAGTACATGTTGAAGGGACGACGTGTTGCAAACAAAGCCATCACGGAACAAGTAAGACTGTAACTTCTCCCTGGGGATCTGCTTCCATTGAGGAACACAGGTCAATGGGAATCATTCCTGGATCTCCCAGCTTATACCTTGTGCAAGGGAGTCAAGTTAAGTTTCTGCCTACAGGTGACCGTGAGGAATTTCTGTGTGCACTGGCAAAATAACTTTCTAAGCTTTAAACTCTTGTTGATACGTTGTCCCCTATGATCTGCTCTGATATGAATTAAAATCATTGCATCACAGAATGGTTTAGGTTGGAAATGACCTTAAAGATCATCCAGTTCCCCCCCACCATAGGCAGGGATGCCACCCACTAGATCAGATTCCTCAAATGTTGGCTTTTATTACCAAAGATACTCCGTAGTTTCAAAGAAGCCCTGGTTCAGACCTTCTCCTTACTGTCAATCAAACTGGCCTTCTTTGTAGCTGGAGGCTGTTTAAAGAGGAACCAGATGTGCTGCTGTCTCACCTAATAGGAATTTCATTATCTCTTCAATGGTGTTTCTCATAACTTGAGAATTTAACCAGTGATCTTCCCCAAAAGGTAGTCCCATGCCAGGATTTGAAGAGGAGAGTAGCTGATACTGCTAGAATCTTGGGCTATTTCTGAGATACAGGCTGTAGACTTAAAAAAGCAAACCAAGTGGTTTAGGCCAGTGTTTCTCAGGCTGGAAAGCTGAGGGCATTCTACTAACTTGTTGGGTTTTTGGGTTGTCTCATGGAGAGAGAAGATAAAAGAGGAAAGAAAGAGGTCATAGTTTCAGATAGGTCTAAATTGAAGTCAGTGCTTTATCTCTGTTACAGTTACTGGTTACTGGAAAGTAGTTTTCGTACTTGACTCCATGTACCAAGTTGGTATGTGCTGTTGTCCCAGTGATCTGCTTTGGTTAGCATTGGTGATTGCCTCTCCCTTTTCTTTGGAGCCACCTTGGGATACAGCAGGGTACTTGTAGAATTGCAAGGATGCTGCAGGTAAGCTTGAAAACAAGTCGCTTGGTCTGGATAACAATGACTGTTGTTTTTTCCATTTTTGTGTTGTCAAAAGGTTCTTCTTCAGAACAGAGGCAGGAAGTCCAAAGATCAGCCTCCAAAGAAGGCAGAAAAGAAGAAGCCTGAAGGCACTGTCTTTACTGAGGAAGATTTCCGTAAATTTGAGAGAGAATACTTTGGGATACCATAAACAACGTGACAGGGATTCTGACAGCTCCAGTGCTCAGCACTGGCCATTTCCTCAGCGTGCTTGAGATGGGACATCAGAGATGTACCTCTGTCAGCAAGTATTCCAGTGTCAGACTTGCAGAGCAGCTCTGTGTCTGTGCAGAACTTGTTACTGGCCAGCTAAAGCCGTGGAGGTTATTTTGGCTCTGAGATGTGTTATCCTTACAATTACCTTCGTCGAGCCAACATACCTTGCACTCTTAATGTGGAAGGGTGCACCAAGCCAAATACAAACCGTGTTGCCTTTCCTCAGGATGTAAGGCTTCTGCTGCCTGTCTTATTTGTCTGGGAGCAATTAAAGTACTGTATCTGAATGGAGAAATGTTTTTGACCAGCACTAATAAATGGCTGGAAAGGAAGAACGCTTCGAAAGACTGCATAACTCTGCAGTTTTAGTTCTTATTGCAGCCACTGTCAGGTCTTTCAGTCATTGCAAAAACTTGTTTTATGTCATTTGATTAAATAAATGTTGCAGATACTGTCTCTTTTTGCCTTTGTAACAGTGATTATTATGACAGGCTACAATTCAGGAAGACAAGCCATGTCACTGCTGTGATCCAAGCATTCCTCTCTTTAGGATGACTCAGTTGTGTGAATGGCCTCTCTGATTCATGTTGACATGTATATTTCATCTCTCTGACATGGTGAGGCCTTCAGAGTGCAGATTGGAATGGAAATGACTCCTCCATTTTACCTGCTCACAGCCTCCCCTCTCAAAGGCCTACACGCAGAGAAAGTTGTCCTCTGGATACTTACACCTGAGTGTCCCACTGAGATTTAGCCATGCCAGGTGAGCACTGATGATGAGTGTGACCAGATCACAAGCCAAGAGGACTTGTGATCCAAATGTTGGTCTCAGCATCAAGTTAAAATCTGAGCCTGAGGTTATGGTGCTGGGTTGAAGGGAAATTGTTTTCCATCAGCTTCTAAATCCCCAGCTGTAACAAACAGAAGGCCCAGCAGATGGGAGTGTTGGTTCAGAAACTTCCTCGTTAAACCATGCTAAATGTGCTTCTGGGGAGCTCCTGCCACTGCCCTTTCCAGCCCCTTACCTAAGAAAGGGAAAGTACATTCCCTTTGGAAAAACACAGGTAAGGAGAAGAACTAATGCTAAGCTTTGGTTAGACTCAGGAGTTCATTACAAGGGACTTGGCTGACCCAAGCAGCAGCTGCTTGATGTCAGCACTGGCAGGAATTCAGTATCCTTTAGCTGTCCTCTGATTATAATTCCTAGTGCTATCCTCTTGAGTCTGTGCCTCCTCTCTTGTGTTCTTTCCCTCTTGTCTGCATGGGAGGGAAGGTCACCCAGATGTATGAGGTCCAGACAGGGCAAATAGTGAACATACTGAATTGGGTGTATTGGAAATTGTGTAATAGCACGTGGGAGGGGATTTCTTGTAATAGGATCAAGTTCAACCATCTGCAGCCAAAAGTGGTAAATATAGAACAGTTCAAAGACCAATTCACTTTTTTTTTTTGGTTTGTTCTTGCTCCCAAAATTAAAAAGTATAGTAAAAAAAGAATGACAGCTGCTTAAAAGAATGGAAGCACTATTGTTTGAAAAAATAGTTGAGCAAAATGTGTATTCAGTACATGTCTCCTTAAAACTTCAGCACTCTGCCTGCTGCAGTGTATGTGACTAACACAAGCAGCTCTGTGTGGAGCTGTGATGGAGATAATTAACTGTGTGGAAAAGCTGGCTGTGCCACAGCTTGATTGAAACCAGTAGATTTCTGGGGTGTTATTTTATTTCAAACCTTCATCTTCAGTATTTGGCATTTCCTATGACCTTACAGAAGTCCTTCATGCTACCTCCCGTGCCTCCTCTACCAGTTCCTCCTATGCACTCTTGTTTCTGTGGTTGTTCAGCTCCTGGGCCCTTCTTCTGCTGAGTGAGTGAAGTTAAACCATCCTTCGTTTCTCCGGAAAAGAGCAGGAGGGTAATGCAGTTCACTTTCTTTGTACAAAACCCAACTTGTTTGCTTGCAAACAGGAAAGCTCTTCTTTCAAAGCTAATGAGGAACTTTAAAGTGGGGCCCAGAGCTGTTCTCCATGAGAATAATAACACACAGATCTGTGGAGTTTTAAAGTTGGATGGCAGTTCTCATTACTGTCTGGAAAGACAATTAGGGCCAACACAAGTAATCAACATACTTCTTGAGGCTCCATGCCATGAGGCATTATGTTGTCAAAGAGTGTGAAGCTACTTGACAGACTGAATTTTGCCATTTGAAACCAAACTTGGTTGTACAGTCAACAGTATCCTTAAATAAATTACACTTTATTTTGTGGGAGGAAGGAAAAGCAAGCAGAAGAGAACGTGTGGCTCTAGATATACCAACTGCAAGGGCAAAGGTCTAACATGTTTCAGCCTTGATGTCCCCCCTCTCTGGCAGGGCATGAGCTCCTGGGAAAGAAAAGCAGTGCCACTTGCACAGTGCATGGATCAGGACAGGCATTGGCCTCTAAGGGAAATGCCTTCAAGTGAAAGGGGAGAACAGGTACCAGCCTGTGGCATGTGCAGGGTGGTAAGCTTAGGCTGAGCATCTTCTCATCCTCCTAGCTGTCTATGTTACGGTCTAGTCATGTCCAAGGCAATCCAGCTCCTCAGCTGTGCTGGGAGATGGCCACTTTCGAGCAACTTGCCCCATCTCTGGCAGTGTTCAAGGCAAGGTTGGAAGGGGCGTTGAGCAACCTGATATAGTGGAAAGTGTTGAAACTAGATGATCTTTAAGGTCTCTTCCAACCCGAACCATTCTGTGATCTTGCTGTTCTTTGCAGCCAGACTTTCATGTCCCAGGGAAGAGTGGGCATTAAGGAAGGAGCAGCTGCCCTAGCTGCTTTTCCTAGTTGCCCTCCAACCTGTGTTTCCCACGCTGGAAGCTGACTTGCTGCAGCCTTTGGACCGGCCTGACAGCATTTCTTTCCCGAGCATCTGCGGCCGACAGCGCAGGGAGGTGTCCCAGTGCCGCGGGGCCGGGGCCGCGTGCTGGCTGAGCTCATCGCGCTGCTGGCTCCCTGCCCAGCCCTGCGACACCAGCTGAGCATCCTGCAGCAGAAAATAGAGGTAGCTGAGCTAAGGAAGAAGGAGGAGAGTGCCATCTTCCAGTGCATCCCCACCCACACGCAGCAGGGAGTCAGAACGGAAGGCAGCAGCTTTAATATAAATGCAAATAAAAGCTCTGGAGTGTTATTAATGTGATAGGACCTTTCCCGGGAAACTGTTTAGAGGAGGCAGAATAGTTCCCAGATGCTCAGTCTTGAGCTAGCTCAATGTGAATAAGATTCATCAAGCCTGTTAATGGCCTATTGCTCCCTCATTATTCGAATGCAAAGCAAAACAATGGGTAGAGGCTAATGTAAGCTCATAAAGCCTTTGCTGTGTCAGCAAGTCTTCACCTCCTTACCGAAGAAAGCAACAACAGCTACAACCAGTGCTATATGTGTATCAGGAGAGTATAAACCAAGAAAACGCATTTGATCAGGACACTAACCAACTTGCCTCTGGAATGGCATAGCTGTAGCAAACCTGGCTGCCAAGGAGCAAAAACAGACTGTGAAACTTGCTCAGGCGAATGAGATTTAAAACGCTGAAAAAGCTGTAAGGAAAACCAAGGCAGAAGGGAGGGTCCTAAAAAGCTTTGGCAATCTCAGCCTTTAGTTTCTTTTTCATGGCTGCCTTTCATTTCAGCCTTGCTGATGAGCTACACAGCATCAGCACCTACAGCACCACCGCGCTCCTGAATGCGTTGGGTAAGGGACTGGTTATTGTAGGAAGGGTGCATAGCAGCAGGGCCCTGAATAACTCACCAAATCAAAGTTACAGCAAAAGGAAGTTTCTCATTTTGAGACATAAAGATCCATCAATTCAATTAAAGCTGAGGAGTGTGAAAGAAGGCAGACTGCCTAAAGTCTGCTTACAGCTCAAAGCGTGGCACTCCAGCCAAGGCAGACTGAAGGGTTAGTGCATTTGAGATGGATTAAAGGTTTGCATGTCTATCCATAGTTACATTAAATAGGATTAACCGTGCCAACCACTAACTGGTGGGGGCAGGGGCCATAAAAAGCATGAAGGTTGTTCTGCAGCTGTCTACAGGGTTACATGCACCTTCTTCTGAGCGAATAAGCTGTTGGCAGGGCTAAGCAGTGATCTAGCCAAGCTGGTCTGTCCTGAGCTGCACAGTTTGCATGCCAGCAAGATCATTTATCTCCTTTAATGGGAGGCAAAGACTGGGGCTCTTTCTCCCACTGCCTGCACACAGTAAGGGAGATGCAGAGGAGGTACAGAGCTAGAAGATTCTCTGCCCTATATAAATGAAGCTGCCGCATCTGCTGCACCTGGAACTTACTCCTTGTCATTTTCTAAAAGGGTGTGTACCTGTAAAAGAGAAGAAGAGATCAGCTGAAGGAGAAATGAGAGGTGGATAGCCATTACTTGGAGAACATCCACCTCTCTAATAGGGAAATTGGAGCTTGTGGGTAGAGCTAGCTTCATTCAGTGGCTTGTGACACTGCGTGAGTGCACCGAAAATAATGCAGAGGCAGCATACCTGGGATACCTGAGCAGCCAAAATAGCATTGCCTAGGTCAGAAGACTAAAATCCTCTGTCAATTCACAGGGCCTGAAGCATTTCAACAGGAAATTCAGCAAAGGTGAGCATTTCTGGCCCAGCAAGGGATGCTCAGGGTAAGACCCCATGACTGCCTTTGCACTGGAAACAAAGTGCAACAGGAGTTTATGTGCTAGACTGCAAGGCAAGGTTGTGAATACAGCAGGAGAACAGAGGAAGGTAGAATGTCTCCAGAAGTGACTTGAACCATATTAAGAAAAAATGAGCGTGCACAAGATGGAAATTATGCCATAGGAAGGACAATATAGATCCTGGGGTTTTTTTTCTGAAGGCCTAAGCCTATGGAAAAATAAAGAAAACTGGTTTTCTTCTGGCCAAAAATGTATATACTTGCCACCCCAAAAAAAAAGCCTATGAATGGACTACCACTGTGTGAAACTGATCAGAATAACCCACATTTTCTTTGTACAGTCCAGCTTGGGAGGGCTGGAGGAGTGTTCATCTCCCAAAGGACAGCCTGTCCTTGCAGCTATTCCTGGGCTTTCTGCCAGGGCGAAAGCTATTTGGAAGATTTTATCATCATTCTTTCTTCATTCTCCAATGCTGCAGCTGTGGATTTATTTCTGTGAGTGTGCTACAAAGGTGCATCTGATTCTCCACACAGGCACGTGAAGAAGTTGTCAGCAGTGATGGTTTCCTCTTCTGGTTTTGAAGGAGAAGTGCAAACACCTGGGTCTCTCTAAAAGCAGGGCAGAGAGGAAGGTGGTTAAAAATACCGTGATAACAGCAGAAACAGTCTCCTGAGAAGGGGCTGTATGCTGTCAGAGCAGCTTTGAACTGCTGGGGGCTGTTGGTTATGTAGGGGAATATTGGGCTCCTGCTTACCATGAAGCACAAGATTGGCTAAGTAATCAGGAGCCTGTGGGTCACACACGCTGTGTGTGAAGTCTATTGCACTTCCCTTAATGCAGAAGAAAAATAACTGAGACAGAAATCCCATCAGCTGTGCCAGCTTTATATTCAAATAGCTTTTATATAATGTAGATTGGAGGAATTCTGCTGTGTCCAAGGGTGTGGAAGAGCTAGGCTCCTCTGGAGGTAGGTAAAGCCTGCATTTCATGCACTACAGTCCATTTCTGGACTCTATATGCAAGCTGCAAGGATTCAGTTGAGACACATCCGTTCAGCAAGGCTGTGAGGAAAAGGAGATAGCTCCTGCAGCTTGCAAAATGTAAAATCAGTCACCAGGCAGGAGGCTATCAGATGTTTTCTCCTCCGGGCTGGAGTTTGTTATGTGACAATGTCCTCGATGTTCCTTGGCTCCTGCTGCAGGCTGGATAAGCTGCTGGGCTGCAGAGCCAAGTGGCGTGAAGCTGGCTGTGCCTAACGCTAGCCTGGTGGAAAAGTCTAGATGAAAAACGCAGAGAAGGAGTCAGCCCTAATCCCCAGCGCGTGTAAAATCTTAACTAAGTTACTAAGTATGGAAACACGGCGTCATTTCAGCAGGCGTTGCATAAGGTTGCCATATTGCTGCGAGCTCAGAGCCTCGGCAAGCAGTGAAGATGCTGACTACTCCTTAAGGGCAGGTTTCTCCTGCAAAGAGCTCTGTAAAACGCACACACAGTGCAGAGAGCAAAGCAGCATGGATGTGTCATGTGTTCCTTGTCGCCTATTCCAGCATTGATCTTCCTTCCCCAGTGTGAGCATCATTAGGTAAATTGGAGCTACATATTCTGGGGAGAGCTGTAGAAACCAGAATTATGTGTTTACCGGCCAGCACAGTCATTGCCTCATCTGCCTGCAGAGCATGGACTCAAAGAGAAATTGATTTGAGCCAGGGCTGGGTCACAGACAGCCCTGCCATAGGGTGGAGTAGGGGATACATGTGCTGACAGTCTTTCCAGGCTTTAGGAGAACAGAGTATGGGCTGCAAAACACACTCACTGCCCCCACAGCCCTGGCTGCTGCCAGGTTTAAGCAGAAATTGCTATGGCTCTAAGGAGAGTGGAGGTGGTTGCCCTTGGTGGGAAAGGGGGATCAGTATGGGGGGAGAGGAGGGGTTTGTCCTGTGCAGGGAAGCCACTTGGGCATGAGCAAGGCATATGAGCAACTCTTAGATGTTTTCTGTGGCCCAGCTGAGACCAAGCACACGGCCACCTCAGGTGTGGATTTGACCCATCAAGGGAAAGACCACCCTGCTTATTGGGCTCTTCTGCCTCTAATTATCCCCATCTCAAGCCTGGCAAGTCCAGCTGGTTGGAAGGAAACCTATTATGTTGGTCTACCTCCCAAAACACAACAGCCCCTTGTCCCTGCAGGCAGTCACCAGTAAGCTCTGGAGAACAAAGCAGCAGTTCAAGCAGGACCTTGATATGCCTGCCAGTTTGCAGTGCATCCCATTCACACAGTGCATGGTAGTCAGAGCCCTCACCCAGGAGGTGACAGACTAAAACACAGGGAACTCATTGTCCCATGAAACTTGAGGGGAGGGCCTTAGTTACCCACACCACTTTCAGTGTGGCATGAGCCCTAACTCCTGACAGAGAGCTTTTCACTAACCTGTGCCACCCAGGCACCAGCTGTAAGCATAGACAGGTGAAGTCACCATCGAGGGCCTGGAGCACCCAGCCCTCCCTGCCAGCACTTACCTGCCCTACCTGCCCCTGGAGGAGCCTTCATGGTCCCCAAGGTACCATGGGCAATAACACAGCTGTAACTGCCATCACAAATCAGCTAATGGCTTGGGCAAGGAGCACAGCTGGAGGACTGCAGCCCTAACTTGAGGACGTGAGGAGCAAAAGCGTCAGAAACCTGGACGCCCACCAGGCTGCAAGTGGACAAAATATTTTCTAGTGCCTTTAGGGACCTTTTCCCTCCCCACTCCAGCACTGGCTGGAGACCTGATGCCACTGTGCTGCATGTGTGAGCCAGCCAGGCTGGGATGCACGGGTGCTTCAGCTGGGCAGCTCAGAGCCATGGCAGTGCAAGTCAGAAGGAATCTTAACTCCTCGGGAAAGGATGTGCATGTCCACATACCGAAGAGATTAGATGTTGCTAATCCTGAGTATCAGTGGCCAGAGAATAGTTCAAAATGGCACATCTCAAATCCTCAAGCAATCCCGACCCTCAACCCTGCACACACGTCCTGCTCCAGCGCCTTCCCTGCACTGGCTGCACAGCTGAGGCAGGACTAGAACTGAACTAGCTTTATGGGCAAACTCAGCTGTATCCTTGGTAGAAGGGACAAATCTACACTTGTAGCTTAAAATTTGGCTCAGCAGCAAACTGCTGAAGCCTCCACGCTTTTCCCACTTTGGTACACGGGTGTTTTTCCTCAGGAAGAGCAGCACTGTAACCCCACCTAAATGGCCATGGCATGAGGGCAGCCCATGGCCCACACCCACCGGCTGGACCAGCAAGCACACCCGTACATGTTCTGCACATTTGGAGACCCACAGGGAAATGAGAAACCAAAAAGCGGTTAACAATGCCAAGGCTTGCTCTGGACTTGTCCTAGCAAGCCGCCCATTTCTTATGCAGTGTTCACTTTTGTACCCTGAAGACCCTTCACCTCCCTCAGAAACCACACTCAAGCCCAAAAACAAGACCCTCCCTCCATACAGTATTACTGGCCTTGTCTCTACTTCCTGGTCTTGTCTTCCCTTGACTCCTCTTACATTCCTTAATTGGGATTATGCGTTTGCTGCTAAAAAACTGGGGCCACCTCGGTATGATCCCCCCAATTTTACTCTGTGTATTGTAGGGAGACAAGTCAACTGAGTCAATTTGTTAAAGTGACTCGTGCACTTGCAGCGTCTCCATCTCCCAGCAGAACAAGCAGCACTCAAGTGCCACACTACATTGTCCTCTGGTCACCCAAAAGCTTGTTGTGCTTGTACCCAGAGTGGCTAAAGTTGTGCTTGTTTCACAGGAACCCACTCATTCACACCATCATTGCACATTTACTACAAAATTATTTATTAGACAGCAATACACAGCTTTAGCAGCAAGCTTATATACATGCACACAACCACTGACTAGCCTACTCGGGGACTCTAGCTCTCTTGCCCTTGGCCTTGCGGACCTCTTCTATTAAATCTTTTAAATACTGGATTTCCTTGCTAAGGGAATCTGCTTTCTCCTTCAGGGCCTGATTCTTCTGCTCCAGCTCTCTGCACTCCCCAGACAGTGCCTCCTGTTCCGCCCTCTTCTTCTGCCGGTACCGCGTGGCAGCAGTCTTGTTCTGCTCCATCTTCTTCAGCTTCTTATCCAGCTTCTTCTCTCCTTTCACCTTGGCTGACACTACCTTCTCTGCAGGGTGATCGTAGGGTTTGGGCCGCACAGAGCCACCATGGGGCTCTGCAGGCAGCTGGGTGCCATTGGGGGATCCAACTGGGTTGGTGGGGCTGTGCTGGGGGGTTCCCAGGTAGGAGTCTGGGCTCATGCATATCCCACTGTCATCTGAGTGGTTCTCCTCCTCTTTCTCGGACTTGGTGATCACTACCACAAAGGTGGGGCCCTCCTGCTTTTTTTCTCCTTCCAGAACATCCACTTCACTACCTAGCTCTAAACTAAATGAGTGGTCTGGAGTGGAAGTCAGAGACCCTGGGGAGAGGGGGAAAGACCAAAGGGAACTCAAAGGGGCCATTGGATCTGCTCCAATTGGGGATTCAGGGAGATGGGTGATTAGGTCATTTATCAGTGGAGGTTCTTTGTGTAATTCCTGGATGGTAGCATTAAATAGGAGATCACACGTGTCTTCCAACGTGGCCATCAGCTCGTCTGGTGAGACGGTGGCTTCCAGATGTTCCATACCTAACAGAGCATCAAAGTCAAATTCCTTCAGATCCATCTTCTCCACCATCCACTCCATGCCAGAGAAGGCATCCTCTGCACAGTAAAAAAATCAATAAATTACTGCTTCAGCAAACCACCACCAAGTGCAGGTCAAGCTCTTGAAAATAATCTAGCAGCTCATCTTTTAGCATCTTCCCTCCCTCATATACTGGTATAAAGAGTAACCCACCCGAAGGCTGCAATGTAAGCAGTCAGCTGTTGGGACATTCCAACCCCCTTAGTCAAAGACCAGAATAATTCAGGGCCAATTCAAACATACAAGCATGGCTTGTTTCTTGTGACCTCTGCCAGGGAACAGTACCATGAGCAGCTGCTATGCCACTAGAAGGGCAACACAAGTGCCATGTTACCATCACTGTGTGGTACCAGCAGTGTAGTACACACTGCTTCCCATGCAAAGGCTGCAAAAGTGCATCTGATTCTCCAGACAGGCAAGTGAAGAAGTTGTCAGCAGTGACGGTCTCATATGACTTCACATTTATGGAAACCTGGTGGTTTATTTTTAACTGGAATGTCACTCAAGTGTCGGAGCACACGATTCCCAAGCAGAGGCCATGCCTATGAGGTTGCCTTCACATTTACGGCAATTTAACTGGAACTTAAGTGTTATGTACCATTATAACCGATGCAAGCAAGTAACACCTTACCCTGGCTGCTATCTATGGTGTTGCCTAAACTGTCCACAGCAAGCCAATTGGAGGAGACTGCCTTAGCCTTGTCGCTGGAGAACCCATGCGAACCGAGGGGCTCGGCCACCTCCAGGTAGTCATCTAGGAGTCCCAGACTTTCCTCAGCCACCGAACACGGCTGGCTGAAGGGGGATACTAAATCCCCCAACAGCATCTCGTTGTTCAAGCAGCTCATCTTGGTCGGTTTCTAACGCCTGGACCTCGAACGATGCGGACAAGCAGAGGCTCTTTTTGTCGACTACAGCAATGCTGCTGTGCGATGCCTTGAGAAACCTGCGGGCAAAACTGTAATCCGTCAGAACACGGTTTGACCGACATAGCGACATTTTTTTTTTTTTTAAAGCGTTTCAGCAGCGTGGTGGTGGTGCTTTACCACGCGCAGCATCCCTCAGGGCAGGGCTGGGCCGGGCGCGGCTGCTCCTTCCCTCCCTC